CCACCACTACTACTATGCGACCTGCCTCTTTATTTTTCTAAACATGTGCTATGATGTGTTTACTTAGACATCGTATAAGCCTTTCCCTCTCATTTCGCCGCTCATGGTCGTCTTCCACAACCCACCAGTGGAGATCCACCTTGAGGGGGAGCCAGACACCAATACACGGGCTCCTGACCACTGGATTGCTACGTTCTTATCCCAAACTCAAGGTTACTGGCACGATCATGGGAAACGGGAGACAAACATTTCACACGACATCTTCGACAAGGTTTTGCTATCCCCTTCTTTCACTGGCAGTGTTCAAGGTACTCAGGATACTCACTTCGCCCCCGCGCATCGCTCATTGTCATAACCGAGCAGGCGTCTTCTGCTATATCTATAACAGGAACCATTACTCGTATCGCGCTCACTTTCCTTCCCGTTCTATTCATCCGAGGTCTGGCAGGCCGGAAGCAGCTCGAAAGACTCGAGAAGGAAATAGAAGTACATAGTAGTCGGACCGACCTCCACGACAAGAGGACACGTATTCTGCAAAAACTGAAGAAAACTTGCGGGCTTGTCCACTTTCTATTGCTCACTCCGATCTGTCTCCTTGGGCTCACGATTTTCGCTAGTTTGGAGAGAGCACCGCTGACCGGCAGGTACATATTCCCCCATCCTATATGGTCATAAATCTCAATCACCTGACAGATGGAGACTTATGCTATTATCCCCAGAAGAGGAGGCAGATATAGCCGCACAGCTCGCAGGTCCTGGATGGTATCAGGCTGTCAGCGAGATTCTTTTCCAGAATAATCGGTCTACGCTGCTCGATCCTATGGATTGGCGAGTGGGCTGGGTGCAGGACACGCTCAGACGATTGGAGCAGACTATCCCCATGCTTCTGCGCGAGAAAGAGTTACATCCGGATTGGATGGAGCGTAGTGCTAGCGACACTCCTTGTCCACCTCCTGCAGAATTTCCGCTACGTCCTCGGCCGCAGGTATCTGAATACTATCGCAGGTTTGGAGAGGTCGTGCGTACACTGCAAGATTCGCAAGACCCGAGCGCTGGGACCATTCCCGGGCCACCGTATTCGCTGCTCGTTGTTGATCGCCCGGATTCGTCAAACGCGTTCTCGTATGGATATGGCGGAGACGGGGGCGGCGGCCTGGTTGTCTTTTCTGGCTTCCTAGATGACATTCTTTCGAAGTCTGCTGGTAGAGTTGCGCCGACATCGAAGCCCACGTCGTGGTGGAACACACTCTTTAACGGTCCGCTCTTTGGTTCGCCAACAGTTACACATCCGGTTCCTACAGGGGAGCAAACATCAGAGCTTGCCATTCTCTTGGCACATGAACTTGCACATCTTGTCATGGCCCATCATCTCGAGACACTATCTCACGGTTCGATCATTGGCCCAGGTGTAATGTCTATCCTCACTGATGTTGCCCGCACTCTCGTGTTCCCTGTCACCATGCTATGTACGCCAACCTCCCTGATCCCTGCTTTTGAAGTTGACACCACTGATATGCTACGGTTTAGTTGGTCCATTCATCAACGATGCTCTTGCTGGGCTGGGCGAAGTGGGTTCTGGGGAGTTCGTGAGGATGTCCGAGTATTGCACGAGCCAGAAACAGGAGATTGAAGCTGACATTGTTTCCGCTAGGTCAGTATTCAGAAGCCACCCCATGTGATTATGTGACTTATGCTGAGTGGCTGTATATCCTAGACTGCTTGCGCATGCTGGTTTTGACCCGCGACATGCGGTGCGCTTTTGGGAAAGCCGACATGAGACTGCAGATATGTCCGAATGTTCCACAGCTACACACGAAGAATCTCTTCCGCGTCGCTGGACGGGTTCTGGACATCCTGTGAACAAGATTCGTGTACAGAAGCTGAAGGAGGAGTTGGATCGCTGGGAGGTTGCGAAACAGAAGGCACTTGCAGAACGTAAAGGCGAGGCCAAGCACGGCTGTTTGAGAAGCAGATAGACGGAGAGCATCGGACACTGTTGCATAGTACAGTCGTTCATTTGGGTTAGATCGGTTACTGTATATCATTTAGTTTGTATTGGTATTATGCTACCCATATACTAGTCTTCTAGAACTCACGCATGCACTCAAAGACGAGCTTGATAGAAATAGAATTCGCAATCAGCGGCTGCGAAGAGCAATATATTATCATCCCCTGCAAAAAGATAGGCAAGAGCTTCCTGACGAAGCTAATCGCTGAAAAATTCCCAATCCGGCTTTGAGACAGGGCCAGTACACGGAATCCCCTAGTAAAAGGCGAGGGGATTGTCTGCTTGTACTAACCCCAGCCGGCAATATTTGAAGTCGGAATGACGACCCTGATGATCAAGTCTTGCGTTTTGTGCGACTCGCGGGTTCAGTCAGATGTTTATTGCGCTCAAGTTGTGACACGACCATCTCCCCTTTGGCGGCTCACAGGAGTCCGAGCTGCTTAATGGCGTGAACACATTGTGTAAGACATTTGCTGTGTTTGGCCCGCATAGACCTTTCCCGATATTGCATAGATATTCATTGCTCGTTAACTTCGATGTACAGTTGCTCGGATATACATATTGGTACAATGCGCCATATACTGTCATTCATATGCCAATGAGGGACATTTCTGTGCCATTAAGAGATGAAGGTAGCCTCGTTATACAGAGTGCCCGCAATCTCAACCTCTCCAGACTTGTCCGGAATAAGCCCGCTGGGGAGGTTAACGTGGAGTGTCACTGGGTTGAACCACTAAACAACTATGTCAGCGACACGGCCGCAACCGACACACTCAAACGTCATGAGCCTTACCTGGTATATGTACGGCTTCGTACCAGCGACGTAATTGACCATAGTCTTGATGACATATGGAATCTCTGCGAGTACATCTACCTTCTCAATCAGTCCCTTGTACGCGTTAGGCTGGCCGACGTCGAGAGTTAGCGTGGCATCGATTGTCCCGGGAGCATCTGGCAGGAGAGAAGGCGCTGCCCATTTGAAGACTAGTTCCGTCGGCGCGTTGTAGCTCGTGTCTACATCCGGTGTCGTCTTCGTGTGTACAGCGCGCGAGATCACGCCTGCAGTTTCTGGCAGCGCCTCGTCCGGCCATTTGGTCTCTGCAGTCACTGCCACGAGTTTCCCGCCAATCACGAGGGAGCCCACGTTGACGGCGACAAATCCAGAGCCGGCGCCGTGTCGCCCGTATGCGTCCGTCGTCGTGAACTCCATCTGAATGGCGGGGCACCCGCCG